ATAGTGAGGCTATAATGTGCTTGAGGCCCACATGGGAGATGAAAGTAAGGGAAAAGGTTTCATGGAAAGGCAGCAGGGAGAAATTTGGTTTTTTAATTAGGCAACTAGAAGACATGCAAGGAGGACCATAATGTTAACATCTGCCACAACCCACACTATACTACAGTGGAGAATGGATAATTGTCTGTCTTTTAAATGACTGTCAGCAGTGTCCAAGCCACACAAACTTCCTAACTTGAACATACCTGAGCACATGAGTACAAGTTCATGCTGAGAAAAAGAACATGGAGCACAGGATCACTCCGAACACACAACTTTGTGATGAATACATGAGTTTGAAGACTTTTGCTGGAAGCCCCTTGTGAATCCCAGCACCCTGACCCTGTACAGAGAAAAAAAGTGGTGGCAGAAAAATCTGTCCACATGACCTTGGTGAAGCAGAATATTTTCCCTGTCTTGTAGTTGAGAAACCAAGACAGTTTAGTGTTGTTTTTTTTTTGCGAGGAGTCTGCAAGAGATGGATCGAGTCTAGGTGATTTGAAACACCACCCTGTAGCTAAGCCATGCACCTCTAGATCATGTCTGCTCTACCTGCAAAATTCTACTTATCTCATTTTGAAAAAAACCCTGATTAAAAAAAATTGTTAATGATTACACAAAACAGCTATGAATGTAACATGCATATCAAACTTAGTAAGGTTGAGCTATGCTGCTTCCCCTCTTTCATTCCTGTTAACCCAGGAGACTGCAGTCATTTTTAGGTTCACAAACTAGAACTGACGTGGGAGCTGTTGCTCCTCCTGCCAGTGGGTGCCCTTTCTTTAGCACTAAAGCAGGCACAAGGCCGAAAATTTATCTGAAAAACTCATAAGCAATGTTTCAGTTTCAGCTGAACTGGTCATACGGTTTCAGAATGAACACTTCTGCTTTTTCAGATGGGTTGCTAAAAGAGACTATATTTCAGGCTCTCTGCAGACTCTGGAAGACATTGACCTTTCCTTCCTTGGAATCAATTCACATTTTTCACTTCATGGTCATGTGGGATTATTATCTGTAATTGAAAGTAAAAGTGTAGATTAAGGAAAAAAAATTGTGCAAGAACTCAATTATACAGCAAATTCTGTGGCTAAGGAACTTAAATATTTAGTCCTTATTAAACATTATTTCTGAAATGAATGTTAATTAAAGAAGCCTGAAGATGCAGGCTGGATGGATGAAGACAAACAGAACAATCTTAGATGGCTGCAAAGACAATGTTTCCCCCAGTGGAGACAGAACGGACGGCTAGTCTTACTCAGATTGCATCTCTTGAGAGGACGATTTATAATGTACAAGACAGAAGAAATTTATTTGCTAACATATGGAAAACATTTATAGGCTCTACTGAGGATCTGGAATTAAAGAAACACAACTACATATTGTTAAAACTTCTAAATGGAGATTTCATTTTAGAAATAAGCGTTTTCCCCTCAAGTCAGTGACATTTCTATACACCTTTGCTTTCTTCCCTGTTAGGTATGGATTTCAGAGCAGGGGTTTGTATCAATTTATCTAGTTGCTGTAGGTATAATTCACAGGAAAATTATTAGATGGCAAAGTCCTGTTTTTACAAATGCAACCCATGTTTCAGAATGATGGATGGGGAGCCTACGTGGTAGGTATGGGACAAGGAACTGTTGCCCAAGCTATGGCCTTGGCACTGCAAGTTACAGTGACAGGAGGATATAAGGCTGAAGACACCAGCAATACTCCCCAAGCAAAGGGTCACATACCCACAGCTGCAGATAATTTACCCCCTTAAGAACAAAAAACCTCCACCTTCTGGTTTAGGAAAATGATCCTCCATTAAGCCACACAAGATGATAGCCTGAGGGAGAGCTCTGCTGCTGGGGCAAACCTTCTCTTCCCCATGTAAATAACTTGCAGGATGCCCGGAAGAGTTGCATGCTGGCTGACAAATAAACAAAATGGCTGATGTACAAGTTGGAAGCACAAAAATACAGACAAAGTCATCACCCCACAGAGCCATATTGAAGCTAACAGGATCAGGGATGGTAAAAAAACCCCTTTGTCAATCAATATCCAACAGCCATATCAGGGTCACTGCTTTTATGTAATGAGGTGGTTGTTTTAAAGCCATGGCCATTAAATAGCTGGTACCATTACACAATACATGGTGCAAACATCAGTGCTGATGTGCAAGATAAAGCTGGGGTGGCCGTCTGCAAAGCAGCAGAAGAAAAGTGAAATTTTGGACTGCTGTGGTTGAACAGATTGAAACATCTTCAAGGAGGGACAGGACCTCGGGCCAAATATTTGAGGCAGCAGCGCAGCAGCGACGGCTGGGATTTTCAGAGACGGGTTAATGACTGATTAAATGACTCAATCATGCAGATGCTTTTGAAAATTCTGCCGCACACAGTTAAGTTTATTCATGCATGTGTGGGAGAGGGGGAGGACTGTGAAGATTTTAATAACCACCCTAGGAAATAAAAAAGAACAACTGTGCTTTCTCTTTAAAACAGAGCAAAAAACACCCAACAACCCCAAACATGTATTGCTGTGGCTGGAGGGAAGAGTTTATAGGGAAGTTTTAATGAAGTTTTTTTATGTAAGGATGACCAAATGGACCACAATCCGCAAGTCGAAAAGAAGTGCAAAAAAAGAAGGAAACAGAAGGATAAAAATAAAACAGATCACAGCCCTATCAATTTCTTCCAGTCTAAAACCCCTCCACACTTCAGTCTGTTATTTCTGGCTTATGCAGACTTCATACTCCACCATCACCTACTAGGATTCCTAGATAAAGGGGAAGTCAAGAACTTCAAAGAGCTTAGGACTGCAGTAAAAGGAGAGACTTCACCCAGAGAAAGCAAAGTAGTATTGAGGAAAAAGTTGCTCCTAAAGCCTTGCTTTTGGAACAGGACAACCTGACATGACAGGTTGACTAACAGCACCATGCAAGCTCCTACTATTGGTGTAGTCCTCTCACCACCCTGGAGATCACACAACATGCAGAGATTGCTGCCAGGCAGGGCACAACTCCAGGTGTGAAGTCACCCTGGATCCCAGCAAGCTGCCAATGGCAGCTGAGGCTTCCCTCCTTGCTAATTGAGTAGCTTGTTCCTCCTTCTCCACTGAGCATCCTACCCATAAATACCTGCACAGCAGGGTGTTATCTGTCACTTCCCCAGGGGTCAAGCAGGGGGGGCAAATCGAAGTTTTGGCTCTTCACTTTGAATGCAGGAGTACGAGTCATTTTTATGCAGCTGGAGGACCATCCATCCAACTTTCCTAATGTAAAGCAACACCTACTTAAAAAGGCAACAGCTTCTTCCTCTGGTAAAAAGCACCCTACAAGTTTAAAAATCAACACTCAGCCACAAGACTGAACTTGTAGAGAAATTCAGGAGCACTCCCAGGTCCCTGAACATCAGCCGGTTGTATTTTAGCTAAAATAATCCCTTCCTATTTCCACAGACTACTTTTCACTGCTCTAACAGTATTTCTTCATCGAGCCCAACAAGAGCTGGCACAGGTTTGCCCAAGTCATATTTTGACAGTTGTCCCCTTTCCAACAAACAGAGAAGGGCTGCACACAAGTCCACTGTGACATCCAGCCCCAGCAGAGCACAGCTCACCCAGGGAATCTGGGGACAAAACAGCACAAATTGGTAAACTGCTCTGGCTCCAGCAGTGCCTCCCTCAGGTCCGTCCCATCCCAATGCCTATAAATCACTTCTGGCAGGTAGTTGGGAAGCAGCTGCTAATGACAGTTTTGCTGCGGAGTGCAGGAAGTCACCTTTTAACCCTGCCTGCTGTTGTTTGTCTCCCGGAGCAGTGACAAAAGGACAGATGTGGAGAACATGCCAGCTGCTGGGAGGATCCGGACAAAATGCAGCAGGGAGCCTGCCCTGGTCCCATATCCATGAAACATCACCCTCAGGAACACATTTTGGCTTCAGGTGGTTCCCAGTGCCCTTTTTCAAACAGCTTGATGTCTCTCCTCAGCTTTTCCTCGTTCACCCTAAAGATGTAGGGAAGTATCCCAAAGACAACTGTAATTCAGATTGCTGCTACTGTGCTGAGGATGTCCGACCTTCCACCCTCCTGCCATCCAGTCCCCACCTGTGCCGTGGGACAAGAGGGAATTTATAATATAACTAACACACGTACACGTGTGTGTGGGGGTGTTGTGATCAGAGATGAGCAAATAAATTTAATAAGAGAAAGTATTCATTGTAAGTATCTGCTTTTCAGCCCATGGAATATCCGAGATCAGATTACAATTTCATCTGACTTTATATATATTTTTTTTTTCCTTTTAAAGTGTGCAAGTGTAGCAGGGATAGTAGCTAAAGGAAAAAAAATAAAATATATAAAGTGTGCAAGTGTAGCAGGGATAGTAGCTTCTTCTGTTTCAGGAAGGCTCCAAAACACACTTTAGACATTAGCACAAATGAAACGCAAGCAACTCACTCCTATTTAAGTCACCACTGGTTAGATAGATGGCATGCTACTGTGCCTTCCTCCAGCTGAAAAACAACTTGTTTGAACTTTCTACATTTCATGCATAAGTGAAACACCTCTGAAGTTGGTTTTTGTTAACAACTGTAATTCAAAATCTTATTTAAGTATAAATAAGAGCAGCAGCCCCCTACTTGAGTTTGTGGGAAGCTTCTCAAGGATGGAGAGAGTAGTATTAAGAGGTGTGTGCACAACTCAGACTAAGCCTAAGAAATTTGAGGGTGATTATTTCCTCACTTCTAGCCCCGATAACATCTGCTCTGTCATGCTTTTCACGTGGCTACAGGAAGCCAACAGGAAGCCAAGGCTTCACAGTCTGCAGAGAATTTAATTCCATCAAATAAAACACACCCACTGGCCAAACAGGCTGGCGGCTGGGAGCCAACCCCAGGGCGTAAAAAGAAAAATCCTTTCCAACTTGACAATGTAAACAGGACCATAAAGGAGAATGACTTTGAGTGACATATACTTACTGTGAAGACATCATCATCACCGACCTCAGCCTCGTTGTGAAGCGTTGACGAAGAAGTCGTAGACCCTAGAAACAAAAAAACAGCAAAAAACACAGCTTTTTGAACACAAGACATTCCATACAACCTTTTTTTTGTTTTTATCAGGCTGGTAAACATTTGGGTTCTCAGAACTTTGTATTTTGTAGATGTGTAAAAAAGAGTGCCTCAAATTAAGGAAGAAAAAGCCATCTCCTGGTAGCTGGGTTGAAAAGGTAAAATCAGAAGGTGTTTCTTGACATGCAACTGTATGGCTGCCCATGCTAATTAACTATGTCAAAAATAGCAGTTAACATTTCCAATTACAGAAGATTTTAATTTCTGAAGAATGGTAAAACTACGTACTGATCAGTGCTGAAGACTAGATCCTCAGCTGTCAATAAACTATATATGAATTATTCTTCACATATTCCCTAAATCCGAGGGAAAAAGGACTTTTTATAAAAAAAAATAAACTGCATTTTGACAACGAAGAGCTAGATAGGAGTTTTTTTCTTCTTCTAATTTTGGAAGTTGTCATATATTGAAAATGTCTTCTCTGTTATCAGCTATTTCTCAGAGAGTCCCTTTGCTCCACCTAAGTAAAGTATGTGAAAGGAGCTGAAATGTGTAAATACCACAGACAAGAGCAAAATACTGGGGTACAGTTCTCATTAACTACATGGCAATTGTTAAAAAAACATTATTCCAACCTCTGTCCCCACTCAATGAGTATCCTCCCTCCCCATTATCACTTGATAGCCTGATTAGAGCAAAAGGGCTGTGAGGAAGGTGATAGATGCCATCACTGGACTTGGTATTCAGTCTATGTTGTGGTTAAAAGGGGGTGACCCTTCTCTCCACCACTGACTGAGGGTCCTGAATCCCCTTCCTGACCAGCCTCACCCCTCATAAGGCTGCCAAGGAGGGTGGGTGAAGCAAGATGGTCTGGTGGGGGAAGAAACCCCAAGTCAAAGACTTTTTTTTTTTTTTTTTTTTTAATGTAAGCCAACTGTCATATTGAATTAGGGCCACACCACATCCCTTAACTAAAGTAGTTGAACAGTTTGTACCACATTCATTCTGGAAATTTTTAAAAATAATGTGCTTTATGTAATACTATCTGCACCAGCCTTGGCTGCTCTCGGTTGCATCATCACGAAGATGTGCACAGTTAAGTGTGAAAGCCCACTTAAAACACTAAGTAACGTGAAAACATTTGTTCCATTTGCTACATTAGCTTTAAGAGTAAAAAAGCTAGACACTCTATCAAGCTGCACACGTTTCCTGTACTTGTGCACAAAGCTTCTCTACTTCTGATGCTACAGGGAACAAACTATTGGTTAAATATTAATAATAAAGCAGTGATTTAATGAAGTGAAGTTTCAAATGCACGGTTTGCTGTGCTTAATATTACCCGCTAAATCGGATCAACTACATGAACAAAATATGAATGATGTGTGCACGAGCCAGTTATTGTTTTTCACTCAGAAAGCCTTATTTGGAAGTTAAGGAGGAACACATTCATGAGGATCAGCCTGTGCTGTTAATGCGATAAATATAGATTTGCTGATTTTTGAAGTATCCGAGATACAGCAGAACCTGGTTTTAAATACCTCCACTGTAAAATGGATCAGAAAGCCAAAGAGGAGTTGCCACGTACCAGCATCTCCAAAATACCACTCCATACAGCTGAGTTATCATCTCCTTGAAACCTTGCACAATCCTGTGCTACTCACATAAAACATCACTTTTATGACTCAAAATGCTTCCCAGTTGTAGTAAGCAAGGAGAAGAGAAACAGAAGGCATAACTAACTTCTTCACATTGATAGCACAGGAAAAAGCAAATGAATTAACAGTTGAGAAGATCCTTCTTCTAACTCATAAGGTATTTACCAGGAAAGAGACCTGGGGAACTAATTCTCTCCCAGTATCTACCATTTCCATGTTAAAGCAAGGACAGGGCATCCAGAAGGTTAAGCTGTCTTATAGAGCTAATGTCCTCAAAAAGAATCCACATCTGTATATATATATTTGAGCTAGTATCCTCAAAAACCAATACCATCTGTATATAAAAATATGCCAGTCACACTGGGTGAGAAGGAGAAAGGCTTTGGACCACTGAGTCCCTACATAAAGTGGCATAGTTAGGAAGAAAAAAAAAGCAAGCAAAAACACCAAGAAGACTCAACTTTCATTAAAATAAAGTACGACTGAATTATAACGGTATTAAGATCGCCTGATTGCAATGAAATGTGAAAAGGAAAAAACGATGACAACTTCAAAGTACAGGCAATTCAAACACATTTTCTACAAAATTAAAAAAAAACCCAAAACAACCCAAAACACAAAGTCTTCAAGAACTACCCATACAACTAAGCGGATGCAGACAAAAGTAATTAGTGCAAAAAACCAAACACAAAACAAAGTTTTATTCAACTCCAGGCAGGAATTCATACTATGATTTAACAAAGATTCTGCAATATGAGATCTGACTGCATCTAAAGAAGAGCTTGGATTGTCTGAATGGCCATTGCTAGTGTGAAACCCAAGCCCATCAAAAAAAAGCAGCAATGACAGACTTGATGATAAGTAAGTGGGGAAAGTCTGGTCAGACCAGGCCAGACAAGATTAGAAAACACTTGGACTGAAATCCCTTCTCCTTAAGGAATAAGAAAACTCAGTTCTTTAAAGTAGAGCTGGGGTTTGCTCAGCGCAGGACAAGTGCCCAGCTACACTTAGACAGGTGCACAAGACATGTCCAAGGCCAAAACCCGATTTTAAATCCATCCCTCTTTCCCAGCTCCATGACTCAACCCCTTCCCTGTTTTTCCAAAGGTGGAAGTGGCCACCCCTGCGTTACCTTCGATGAGGTCCTCAATGGCTTTCCTCACTCCTCTGTCAAAGGCTCGAGCGTCGGCAGGGCTCTGAAAAGTTAGCCCAAACTTTCTGTTGTCAACTTTCCAGTGGTGGAAGGTGGGGTTCGCCTTTGTGTACACCAGGTCCTTCTTCACAAAGCACTCAAGCACCACCTGGGAGGGCACAAGTCCCAAAAGAGGAACAAAGTCACTTTTCCCACCCCAAGGACAGACAGAGCCAGCAGAGTCTGAGCCCCAACTTAAAAGCAAGCCAAGTCATGCCTCATGTAGAGGAACATCCTTCCCTACCAAACCATGACTAATAAACACCAGACACTGTAATTGTTCTCATAACCATCACACATTCATCTTTGCTTATGCTTTGGGAAGGTCTTTTCTCCCTACCCTAAGTGCCTATTTTGGACTCAGATCCAACATGGCACAGATTACAGCTAGTGAGGGCTTGGGTGGAGAGAGAACCTCTTCCCTCAAGAATTTTGCTCAACAGAAATTTTATCTGCCAGCAGCAGATTTAAGGAGGTGCTGCAACACTCCCCCTCACCTTTTTTTCTCCCTCACCCCCAGCCAGGATCTTATCTCAATCTTCGCTGTGCCAAAAGACAGCCCTAGGGTGATGCTCAGGGAGAAGAGGAATGGCTTGTATGTCTTACCCCATCCCCTGAAACCATAAGAATGGCTCCAAACTAGTGTCAAAAAAAAGCAAAATAGTACTGCAAAAGACAAACTGTACTTCAAACAGCATGTATTTTTGAAAGTGAGATAATTTCTGACTCAAATAATGCATTTTTTTGTTCAAAGATTGAGCTCACAGAGCCTGTGCAGGGAGCATATTTTAAAGCTAGCCCATCTCTTCACAGGAGCAGATATAGAGAAAGCAGTTTACAAACTGTAGCATCTAAAACGGACCCTGGAAATAGGGGAAAGGTTTTATAAATTTGATTTGTGTGGGGAAGCAAGAGAGCTCCTTTTCAGATAAACAGCTAGCAGGAGAAACTGAGTGCGTCAATTCATAAGAGACAACTTGTCTTCATATTCTCACTCGGCTCCTTCAAACCCTGAACGGCACGCAGCATAAATAATTCATTGCCATTTTAAAGGCTTGCACTGCATTACTCAGTGAAATGTGACTGGCTTCATGGGTTCTTTACACTTTGATTCACTTCTCAGGTACCTCTGCTAGGTCTTAGGAAAAATACCAAAACAACAAAACAACAAATCCAAACAAAAAACAACCCAGGCCCTTTTTCAATCATCAATGGACATCTTTGCACATGGATGTCAAAAATTTATCTGCTCCTTCCAGGTGGCAGCATGACAACCTAGACAGCAGAAGATGGCAGTTCTAGAGGAGGATGGGTTTGTTTTGCCCCATCTGGTGCTATCTGCACATACCTGTTTTTTGTGGTTTTTTTTTTAATTTAAAAAAAAAACTTGCACAAGAACACAACAGCAATAGATCTGGGATAACTCTCATTATAAGAACAGACAAAAGTTGAATTAGGTTCTATTACCAGTTTGTCTTTCTGCCTTTCACCATGGATTAGAAATCCACTTCTTCCATTGCCCTCCGGGTACGTGACCTTGCAGACGCCAACTCTACTGAGACCGCCTCCTTCTTGCGGCAACCAGCCCCCACTAGAGTCATCTCGGGTCATAACCACAGCTTTGACTCGCACGATATAGCTGTCACTGCAATGGTAACAAAACAAAAACAAAACCTTTTGTGAGCATCATACCATCTTGTCAGGGTGGTTTGGTTTTTTTTTTGAGAGAAGTATTTAGACAGCACGGATCCAGTCCCAACACTGAGTTTCTGCCCAGGATGGAAGTCCCCCCTCATAGTGGATGGGCTTGACTGTTCGAGCTACCTCAGGAAAAAGACCCATGAAACAAGAATGGAATGGCCTTGGGTTTCCAAATACCAACATAGAGATCAACCCATCATCCCAGGCACTCTTTCTCTTATGCAGTTGGGGACAGTGACCAAGAGACTGCAGTGAGTCAAGCAGCACTCCAAGGCCACTGCCCATAGGGGGTGGATGCACTGGGGCATCAGGTCTCCAAAGTGTTAAAAGAACATGGGAAGTTCAAATAACCCATGAACAAAATGTTTTAAGGCTTTTGTAATAAAATTAGCCAAGAGGGAAAATGACACTCAAAATTCCTCTGCTACTAGGAGAAACTTATGGGAAAAAAAACCCCACAAGTGTAGCTTCAGCTGCTACCTCAAATGAAAGGAGATGGGTACCACTTCAGCTCACATCATCAGGACCCCACCCTGTCCCTGAAACACCAGCAATTCCAAGGGGCTTTCAAAGGCAGCACATCATAACCTCACAAGAAGTTACTCTGGAAGCACCTGAGAGATTTGGGGATAAACCAAGTGCCCATCACAAGGAGTCAAAAAAGCCCCCACAGTGGAAGACTCCACTCCCCCTACACCTCCTCCCATACCCTTTCCACAGAACAGCTGCTCCAGCATCTGCTGGGGATCTCTCCAGGGAGGGGGTCATTTGGAAGCAGAAAGGCCACTACAGAATGTAAGCAAAAGTTGTGCACCTTGCATTGGACTTATAACAGACACCAAGCTACAATGTGTTGTTCCCAGACCTGCTGGCAAATTCCAAAATTAGCTTTTCCATCCTCAGGGTGTGGCCGAGTCCCAGCTAGGTGTGACCTGTCATGTGTTAGACATTGATTAAACCAGTCACTGCTTAGGAAGAGTGCCAACAGCTGTAATGTCCTCACGAGGAGGTCACCATGGCATGGTTAGATGTCAATCATGCACCACCATGACACTGTTGGCTACAGAGCTGCCAAGACATGCAGCAGCACCCACAAAGGTGCTGCAGGGCACTCAAACCTAGGCAAAACTGGGCACATGATAGGTGATAAGAAAAAGGACATGCAAAGGAAATTGCCTTGGAATTGTTCATCTCCAAGATACCACGTAAGCTCACCAGAGGCAAACTCAACCCGTAGAGGACTAAGCTCCAAGAGGAGCCCACCCGTTAGAGAAAGAAAATCCTCCTTAAGGAAAGCTCTGTATGTGGATGTTTTCCCAGCATCCTATAGAACATGACAAGAGAACAGGCCTTTTCTACCCCAAATTAAAAAAAAGGTAGTTTTCTTTATCCTGCATTATGTAAAACTGTCCTTTGTTTTCAGACATTATTTTTGCATCGGTTTTGAAATTCAAATGCTAATATTTGAACCTTGAGTCTCCCTTTCTCTAATACAACCAGATTTTATTTAATACCTAAGCAAGCAGCCTCATGAATCCTACTTGACAGCAGTTTTGAGGCCAGACCAAGGAAGGTAGCAAGTATCTTCAGGGCAGAGGCATCTGGGAGCAGTTAATCCCTTTTGCAGCTGGACAGATCTCACAAAACACACGCTGCGATTTTCCCTTCACTGGCTTTATTTTATGGATACACCAGACCCACACATGGAAGGCAGTACAAACATGCCTCAGGTCCATCCCCTATTGCTCTGAGTATTTCACAATGGCTGACAGAACCCATGCTTAGATATGCTGCCCATACAACAGCAGAAATACACAAGGCATTCACAGAAATAGAGAAACAAGATTTTTAAGACTATTTGTAAGACTATTTTCTACCTGAGTCCTTAAGGCAGCATCCTGGTACAGGAAACAGGGCTAGAACTTCTATAAATGGATCCAGTTACCTTTCTACTGTCTAATAAAAACACATTTCTGGATTTTACCAATGGCAACTTCAATCTTTTGACACTCAAAATTAAGCAAAATACTTCACCTAATTTTCTACTGTATAAGAATTGATCTGCTTCCATCCAAGACAATTTTTGTTTTCTTCTCTGTACCTTTCCCAGATGGTCTGTAAGGATTAGCAATTAACAGATACAGACAAAAGAAAGCCACCTATAAGTTTCTGTGTAGTTCTCCTGTTCCCCAAGGATCCTTTCTGGACTTATTTTTAACTTCTGTGGAATTCCCATTAAATTTCAAGCTCTAGTATGAAGTCTGAGCCGCTCAATACTATCTTCCTTCTCATCCTCCCACAAAAGTAATCCACACAAACTGTCGCTTCTCCTTCCACACTTAAAATTGCCACTGGCAATACAACTTCCTGTGGGATTTACCATTAACTTTCATGGCAGCAGCCAAAGCCTCCAGCGGTCCCAAAAGTAACATTGTCTTCAGATATTTTCTTGCAGAAACTCGTCTATTTGAAGGAAAACTAGGAAAGCAGCAACTACTCAGTACTTTGTGAATTCTACTGATTATCTGCACATTTCCATCACCTCGTGGTAATTTGTCTAGGCTTGCAATTACATATGAATACTAGTGGATGCCTATAAGCCAAATTTAGGTCCCCTGAATACCATCCCTGCCCATTAGAATGGTAATCTGGTGGGACACAGCCATATAGTTTTCATTTTCATACCTGTGCTGATAACATGACCTATGGCTCCTACGATCTCTGCCACCAAGGCCACTGATTTCACCCATGTGCCCAACAGCTCTGTGTCTAGATGCAACATCCGTTAGGGAAAAGACTGGTGCTTTGTTAACTCCAACTGATGCTTCTATTTTTGAATGTCATTTTTTTGACAGTCAGCATCCTCACCCTGGGATACCTCATCCACCTGGTTCCTGGTTTTGGAGACCAGTAAGAAGATGGGACAGGTTTTAGACCAGGTTTGGCAGCTGGCATCTGCCTCCAGCAGATTGCTCCTGTGGTGGTAGAGGGGCAGTAAGTGGGAGGCAAGGGGGTGGGGAAACAAGCTGGAATAGCAATTATTTGACCCAAACAGGACAAGGTAATTTTTTTTAAAGGAAAGTTGATGTATTTACACTGGCTTTTGAAGAATGTTGTGGATGACCTGAGTGTAAAGTGAAATATGTTAAAATTTACTCCTTTTCTCACCACTTGCTGCATTGATCTGTGACTCCCTCAAATACCCAGCAGAACACCAAAGAAACTGCCTTTCTCCCAACCTGAGGAGCTAACTCCTTAAATATATCAAGCCAGAAAAGCTCATTTCCATCCCCTTACTATGGCAAAAAGACCTCTGCTCCCCTATTAGAAAAGGAGCTTGTCCTGCAGATGGGTTCACCTTTGGCAAGGTTAGCAAAGCTCTGGTCCATTAACATAATCCCTTGGCATGCTTTCCTGCACAATCAAAAAGTCCCTGATGATGCTGCGGTCCTTGGAGAGCCCTGTCCCACTCCCACTCCAACCCACATGCAACCTATGCCAAGGGATTTAGGAAATAAAAAAGGAAGAGGGAAAGAAGGTGGTACAGGCTTCTAAGAGGGTGGTACAGGCTTCTAAGAGCTTTACATCTTGGCTTAGTTACTGGACCAGAACTCAGAAGCTGCACGTTGAGTTTTCAAGGCCATGCACTTCTTCCTTCAGTTTTATGTGTCAAAATCTTGCCTGCCGTTTCCATCCACAAGCCTAGAATAGGCAATGCTTCTTTCCCTCATGCCAGTGTTGATAAATACTTGGGAGGTACTCAAATATTTCAGGTCCATATATGGACCTTGCTTCCTTAGCGTAAAAGCTGTTTCTTTTCTTTGCCATTTAATTTTACGCGACTGCACTGAGGCTCTGGCTTGTTGCAAGTGCTCTAAGTCCTCTGGTGCAAAGGAGCAACCTGAAAATCTTGCATGCATGTCACTGCTTCAGTGCACCAAGATTTCAGCAGTGAAATGACCACATTCCAAGTCAGTCCTTTGCACTTTTATCACAGCAACTGCCCAATTTGACTATTTCAGGAGAAACTGCTAATGAGGTACATGAAAATATTTGGTCCGTTCCCACTAACAAGATACTGATTGCTGCTGAGATCAGATAACACAAGCCTTTCATATAGCTACAAATGAAACAACTAAAAAAACTCCTGCAGTAGCCTCAGTTCTCCTCCTTTTTACTGGCTTCTTAAAGTTTAAGACCGCTTTAATTGTTGGGTTTATGGCCTACGTGCTACGCGTTTCATGAAAGCTATTCTTAATTATGCTCTTAAATGGAATACTTTGCTGTCTTAACCCTACAGATTTGTCTTCAACAGCCTGAAAAACTTGGGAAGAAAAGTATCTGCAGGGATTCCCAGCTGCATGGCAGCTGGCCAGCATGTTCCAAGGCTGCTTCAGGTTGTTCGCCTGCCCCACCCAGAGAAAAAAAAAACATAATGAACTTGGGGAGTAAAGGTAGTGCAGAAAACCATGTGCTGTTTTTGTTGGAAGGAAAACAGAACCCTTTAAAAATTATAGCTCGTGGGTGTGCATATATAAATATATATAAATATATTTTTAAAAGACTGTGTGCGTGTATAATTGCTACTCAGAAGGATATTGAGAATTTTCCTAAACAAGAAGTGACTGAATTATTACCTTTGTGATAACTGAACCCTGGTCGCATTACCTATAGCCTAACTTTTACAATGAATTTGTGTGCCTAAGAGATAGGCACCATTTTTAAGGTGGATAGAAGTGCAAACTGCATTGTAAAATGTGACTGACACCATACATCAGCCTCTGATGTGAGCCCCATCACTTACAGCAACCACAGCAAAACCAAGAGCCCTGAGCCTTGCTGTGAGCTTACAGCTGCAATCCCACATCCAGCACTAAACAGTCAGTAATTCCTTTGTTAGCCAAGGCTTTAATTTTGCCAGTATCTTTGTAAAAGTAGGGTCAAAGTACACAGCTCCCTTCCACCAGCCTGTCTTCTTTTCCATTTTGCTTCATACGCTGTCACATTTAGCACCTGAAACACTTCCATAATTCAGTAATATTTTTGGATCTAGCCAGGCTAGTTAACAAAATATAAAGTTATAAACTCCCATACTAATGCAGTCATACAGCACTTCAGTGTTATCCTCTCTTCTCAGCTTTCCAGCTTACAAGGCCAAGAGAAACTCAGGTCTCATACAGAATAGTAATTGCATTTAATGGGTTTCAAAATTGTGGACTGTTATCTTCAATTCAGTGACATTCCCAGATCCCAGATTCCAGGGAAGAGCCAAAAGGACAGCAGGAGGCTGTGAATGCAACGGCGGCAGAGGTCAGTCAGGTCATTCAGCTGAACAGAACTGCAGACACCAGGAGCTTAAACACAATTTAAACTATTTGGATCCATGCAAATTTAACTGTCTGATTACTGGGGCATATCTCCCTTTTGCTCAGCTGGATGTACTTCACAGTGCCGTTACTTTGCTATCCATCCTTGCACCAGCAACTCTGACAGCTGGAGTGAAAGCCATCCAGTTCAGCCCCGGTGATCTCTCAAAAGTTGTATAGCCAGGATCCTCTCTGCAGTTCATTCCACAGCTGGAAAATGGCATTTTCATGGAAGTAATGAAATCCTGCTAATTCTGGGGTCCCACTGTACGGATCTGATGCTTGGTTCATGAACCTTCTAGCAAGGGAGAATTATCTGCAAACTACAACCAGTGTTTTCTTCTTCAAAACCCTAACTTACCACTTTGTTAAAGAGAAAACTTCTGAGTATGTGGAGCCATAGTGAAATAAAGTCTGATATTTGGATACCATTTAGATTCCCAGCAGGTTTGAAACTTTTTCATTAAATATCAGCAAGAATAAAAGCCACCTGAATCTCTCGTCAGACCCAACATTAATACAGAGTGTCTAAAAAACAATGGAAAACCTCCCTGAAGTTATCCTTGCCCACACCTCTTCATCACACTATACCACAGAACTACTGCACTTGTAACCCATCTCTAGTATAACAAATTTGCAATCTATGTTTCTATGTCTTTCAAATCCAATATTGCCAGAATAAGAAGGTATCAGGGAAATCTGGTTTCCACCTAGTCTAAGTAAATACAAGACACGTGACTTGTTCCAGCGATGCCGGCTGTGTCCTGTGGCACTTGACCTTAAATCAATACTAACCTTACAAGGTCAGTTAGAGGACAATTCTCCCTCTCTCTCAGCAAAAGGAGAAAATTTCATTGGCATTTAGCATTTCCTTCCAACTTCCCTCTGAAAATGGAACAGAGTTTTCTCTTCCAGCTTCCCAGTTTACACCTGGCTCCTGAACTGAGTTTGGCAGCATGTGTTTAAGCTTGTAGACCAACCATTTCACAAAAAAAGGAAAAAATGTTATATTAACCCAAAGAATGCTGTTAACCTGCAGCAGCACAGAAGGTAGAGGAGGAAAACACTGCTCTTAAGGAAGTCCTTGTGCAGCATTTGGAAATCACTGCTGGGCGGTTACAAGACACACACAGTCCTACCAGCGCATCCCATAAAGCACCCCAGGAGCAATTCTGCATGAAAGTTATTCACTGGTGGGAGTTTTCCTGCCGGCTGAATGCTGCCCAAAATTTTGTGGTGTGCAGTAAAAAAACCCAACCCAGCAGGGTGATCACTCTGATGGACTGCAGTGGAGCTGGGTGTGGCAGGAAT